TTCAAATCCAACGGTCAGATTCTCATTTTGATGCCCGGAAGGCTGTTTTCTAGCTGCATTTTCAGACCTGCGTTTTTGGGAGTTTTTACTCCATTTTATGTTGAATTGTTGATTGTTGTTGTTCCAAGGTTGCTCCTTGATGATTGTGTATGCCTCTAGTGTTTACTAGAGAGGAGAACTTGTTGTACCCACTTGGTTCTTGGTGATTAGTGGAAGTTTGGGTGCCGTTGTTGAGCGGCCGTGGTTTTCTCCCCGATTTGGGGTTTCCACGTAAATCGTGTGTTCTTTATTTTATTTCCGTTGCTATCTATTTGTGGTGTTGGTGCTGATTTTTGGAGTATATTGTGCTTTGTTGTTCATCTCATTAATTTGGGGAAAAGATTTTATACGCTTCCGTTGTGTTTTGTTCCGTGCTTCCCCAACAGGTGTAAGTCAAAAGCGAACCAGAGAGAGGTAGCCTTATGTTGAGAAAGACCGCCCTTTGATTTCCTCGAAGTTCTTTTGAATAGTTTTGTTGGCTTTGGGTTCATTACGCGGGATCATGATGGTCAAATTCATTGCAAATAAGAACATCCGGTGCAGAGGAAGTCTTGGAGTTTGAGAGGCCGAGACATTGCAGTGAAAGAGGCCCCAACTTGGATAAATGTCAAAGGTTGGGCGCGAGTCACTGTGGAAACAGACTAAAGAGGTTGCAAAGTCACTCACAGTCTCAACTTTCAATTGGTCTTATTTTAATTCTATTATTACTAATTGTAAGCATCTCCAAACACTTTGTGGCAGAGACTTTAAAGTTACTTTTGTGTCTCGCTCTTTAAATGAGGCGGCTCACTTGTTGGTACGCTATTCATTACGTTGAGAGCGTAGGGAAATGGATTAGCTCCCCCACGAATTTTATTTCTATGCTTATTTAAAATATGATCCTTCAAAAAGAAAAGGTGTTGGCTTCAAAATTTTGATGACATGATAACATTTCTTAACAAAACTAATCGCGGATAAAACACCTTTGACAAAGTTTATGACAACAAAGAAAAAAATACAAAGTATTGCTTAAACTTTTATTCCATTAAAATTTTCTTTTGTCACGGAAAAACCCCTGAATTTTGTTTTTATTTAACTTTGTCAATTGTCCAAAGTCGGAATGGGTAGGGCTGTAAATGGATAACCAAAAATCTGATTACTTTCTGTATACGTATGTGTTTATATGAAAAATATCTACATCCGTTAAAAGCGGTTATTATTCGTATCCGATTGGTAAATAGATATGAATTTGGTAACCATACATCTGATCTGTTTATAATTCACTCTGCATAGACATCCACTTAAATAACTGTGTATCCGTGTATCTGAACCTTTATACATAGCTTTTCCTAATTTTTTAGTTTTATATTTTATTTATCTATTGGCATATCAAAGTATTAGACATTTTTATATGCAAAATATATGTGTAGACACATAAGTACTGTGTATATCTTTGGCCTTAATTTAATTGAAATTAAAATATTGTCCAATTTGACATTAAAAATTAGAAACATATACGGATATATCCGATATCTAACCGATATCTGATGGATGCGGATACGATTTTAAGTTTTAGCCGTCAAGATCCGTATCTGAATTTGATATCGGATAAAAATAAACAAATACGAAAATCTGGTAATGGCACATCCAATCCGATTAATATCCGTCAACACCCTTAGGAATGGGCATGGTACAATACAAGAGTGCATTCCTGTAATTAGCTCGTATATAAAATTTTAGTTTGGTACGGAGTATGAAATTTTACGTCGTACTGATTCCGATCCCGAATTATCGACTCATTTCAAACGAAGTGGAGGGTTGTCTTTGCCTATTTTCATTAGATGGTTCTATATTTTATCACATCATACTATTTCTAAGGACAAGAACAAGGAGGGAATGTGCCCTATGGGTGCAAAGTGCAGAACCCTTTGAAAATAAATGAGTATATCCCCATATAAGTATGAGAGATACAACAAGTGTTATGAGGACTTTTACCAAAAGGTTTTGGATCATGGCTCGTGAATCGTCTCCCCCCTCGTGACCAGACATCCTCGAATGAATTGATTCTACAAGTTAACCAATGGGAGGGACGTCACGAGAAAGACACCAAGGCCTACCTGCAAATTTGCAATTGATTTACTCACGAGAGGATCACCCCTTCTACTTGCACCTGGAGTAAAATGTGCCACATTCTTGTATGGCATATGGTATGAAAAACATCAAGACCTTTAACCCCATCAACTACAAGGCGTACCCCTCTCATCATACGAAACAGAGGGATCACATGGAATTCTAGATTTATATGGCATATAGTACCCACCCCGCCTCCGTGCAACTTAGATTATAATAACACCACAAACAAATGAAGATCATCCATATCAAATTGAAACCACTCCACGAACATAAACCCAACCATTCCTTCAAGCATAAACACTTTAACAATTGACTGAAGAAGCTTAACTGGATATGGATTATATGTTTCATTACATTTCAAGAGCACTACCAGAGTGGCTATCAAGGAGTAATTAAGATTTTGAGATTTGAATCATAACAGGGATGATCCAAAATGTTTTTTTCGAAGAGCATTTAGGTAGTGTTTGGCAACTAGCATTTCATTTCAACTCTTGTATTTCAATTCCAAAATTTGAAATTCTGAATTTCAAATGACAAGGGGAGGTACATGGATTTCAAATTAAGCTTTGTTATGAATGAAAACAATTAGACTCAAATCCAAATTCGCAATGTTTATGTTTCCCAAACATAGAATTTGAGCCAAATCCGGATTTGAAATCCAAATCCATGTTCCCAAACATAACATTATTGTATTCTCCAAGAAATCTCAAATTCCAAATTGAAATCAACACGTAGTGATTCAGGATCATGGAAATGCAGTATGGGCCATAGAAATTAGAAAATTGATAAAAAACCCTAATCTTACTTGTCTTCGGCGAAGAGGGTGCGGAGCCGGGAAGCAAATCGGCCGGTCGGATCGGCGGCAGCTTCGGCGAGAAGGCTTTGCTTGATGCGATCCATTCGTTTACTGAGGCCGTCTTCCTCTTCTCTCAGCGCCGCCATGTCTCCCTGGAGATCGTTGATTCGGTACTTCTGGCCCAGAGAGCGGACGCTCAGGAGCAGAATTCCGGTCATCGCGAAGAACTGAATGAAGCTGTGCTTTCTCTTCTTGGCGTTGGCTAATAGGCCTAGAGGTTTCTTGGTGCTCTGAAGGCCGCCGATGAAGGCGGGACGCGGCGGCGGTGAGGCCATGGAAATGTGCAGCAACAATAGGGGTTTAACTTTCCTCGTGTTCTAGTACGGCCGGGTATGACTAATTTTGAAGTGAACTAGAAATCATTCCCACACAAATATTACAGAATATAAGTATTCATTTTAAAATAAAATAATACTCATTTAAAAATATTGTAATACTCATTCTGAAATAATGTAATACTCCCTCCGTCCTCCTAAGATATTCTCATTTTGACTTTTGATGGTTTTTAAGGAGAGTTGAAAAAAGGTAAAAGATTACAATAATACCCTTAATGAAAATGGGTGGAGTGTAGTAAATGAGGTGGGTGAGGCGTAATAAATAAAGTAAGTGAGGGTAGTTGTGGTATTTTGATTGTTAAAAAATGAAATGAGAAGATCTATTGTGGACTAAGAAAAAGGGCTATTGGGAAGATCTATGTGGGACGAAGGGAGTACTAATTTTTATAAATTTGTTCAATACAATTATAATATTTATTTACAAATAAATTAGTACAAATAAATTAACGTTCATTTTGAAATAAAATACTGCACAGACCAACGATGAGGATCCAAGCAGTGACTCCGGCAACCCAACACAAACGACGAACTAATTGTCAGCTGTATTGGAAATAAAGCACAGTCAGTTGTACCTTATAATTTGCGATCGTGTTCAGAGCATGCTAATTTATGGAGTTATAGAAAGGATAAATCTATTTTAATGTGTATAGGCTTTGCACATATGTATAATTCTAGGGTGCCATCATATGAGTATTATCGCCTTAATGTTTCTCACAAACCCACATAATTCTAGGCTTTGCACACATGTATAATTCTAGGATGCCATCAGTAATAGTTGTCACTCGTCCTACATCACTGATAATTACTCCATATTACTACGTATTTCAAATATCTCCAAAGATTTAATTTCATTTCAAACCCAAGTTTTTCATATTTGAAAAATCATATCATATCATATCAAACCCTGCTTTATTTACTAAAGGAGCCCATAACAAGTTCAACACTATTCTTAGAAAAAGTTTTCTTAAATACGCATTTTATGTGTTTGAAAAATAAAACTGACAAATGGTCCTCAACAATTTAAGATATTCTATAACTAAATACCAATTGCCAAAAATGTTGTAGTACAACGACATCACAGAGATTTTTTCAAATGAGAAGTCAATCCTAACCCCAATGAAAGCAACATCTTTACGTGCTTTAAGAAAATCTATAATGAAACTTCTAAACAATTGGAACAATAAATGTATTAAGCCGCCAATATACAAAACCATTTATAAAATGGGCAAGGTTCTTTTGACCCGGGAACTCCGGGTCATATTATGACCGAGACACTTACGTTACTATGTTAGTAAAACTAGTGATTCAGATCCCGCCTAAACCCACTAGCCCTCTCTCCTAGATCGCCAATGTAAGCTGTCAAATCGACAATCTAAATCCAAGTTGGCAATCTAGTGAGGGCAAGGGGGGCAAAAGATGCTTTACCAATAAAGCACTATAGGCATCTCAAGTCCTAATATGACCCAAAGTTTAAAGGTCAAAAGAACAAAATTGTTATTAAATTTACTCAACAAAAAAATCTCGCATTTAAAGAACATCCAAATCTCAAACTCATGAGATGAACAATTCATTTGCGAAGCTTTTCAGGCCTTGAAACTTAGGCTTTGATTAACATTAAATTCAACATTTAGTTTCAAACGTTTTAAAAATTATACAATGTCGTAAAACATTGACGTTTTAGAATTACAAAGTTAAATCTACGTTATTGAAAATTTATTCAATTTGCCCTTAAAAAATGTTGTTCCTAACAAACAATGAGGTCGTAATCTCAAATGAGGCCTAGAGATTGAGTTTAGCCAGGTAAATTTGGTCAAATTTGTTAGATTCATTACAAGCAAGAGTAGCCCAAGTGAGTTTAACCATCACTTAAAATGCTCTCAAACGTATGGGAGGGAGATTTTCCCGTGTCAATAAACATGTTACCTTTCGGAGTTGCTCTTTGATCATATCAATTGCAGAATCTCATTCCCAACAATAATGTGGAGGTAAAACCATAACATAGCTAAACAATCGAAGCAAAAGAAATGATTTGTGTCAAGAGTTTGAGACTTGACCAAAAAGTGGCAAGTCACTGCATCCATTCTTAGCTCTTGCCTAACTACCCCACAGTGGCCTCAAATATGACAAAATAAATACGGACTAAACGGTTCCTAGAATCTTTTGACACCAGAGCAGAGCCCGGCCGGCAGTACTGTCTGACCCTTAAGTGGGTCCAACACCCTATCCCCTAGAAATGTCGAAATGCTTTTACAGGGGTTGGGGGTTTGTAGGGAAGTTAGGGAGTAGGAACCACTTTGGTCCTAAAGTAGCACCGCGGAGCACTCAAATGACACCCAAGGTGCGTGTCAAAAGAACTTTGCCCTATTCATTTTAAATGTTTGCAAAATTTAAGACGAATATATGAAATGGTAATCTTCAAACAAACCCTGCAAAAGTTGTAAAAAAATTCTTACTAGACAATCATACCCGAAGGTATATCCAATGTTGAACCAAGAACAGCCATGAATTCAATACAGAGGGATGAGAAGCATGTTTTTTTTGGGTAGGGTGGGGTGGGGTGTTGGGGGGGGGG